TACCCCAGCCCTAGCTAATTCAGACAGAGATTTTGCTCAGGCTGCCCCGGACTTCTTCACCTTCCTTCTCCACTGCTGTGGAATTGATTTGTCCATCTTTTCTCCTCTCCCCTCCAGCCAACAGCAGTTGCGAGCATCAGAGGCACTGATCTGAACTCAGGAAGACCCAACGCACAATGACAATCTGAAGAACAAGCAGGCTGGAGGGGGCCGTGTCATTGCTCTCACCACGTCCACCTACCCAAAGCACGCTGCTGCGAACTGGGAGGTCAGGAGATGAATAGTTGGAGGGCAATGGCTTCTCCTGAGACATGGAGCAAAATCCAAAGATAATTCATGTTTATCAGTCAGAATAATAAGCATTGTTAAGGAAGGGCAATGAAAAGTTTTGGTTATTTTGAGGGTGGGGTAGGGGGAGTTCTGGGGAAAAAAATGTATTTCATTTAAGAGGAAAAAAACATTTTCCTCTAATTCCCATGCAAATACTTGCCCTCTGTTTCACAGTTTTCTTTTGGAAAGTCCATCTCATTTCCTGGTCAACTCAAATCTGGCAAAAGCTATCATGACCAGTGCTGGAGGATGGAAACCAATATTAAAAAATCACAGAGCAGTAACTCCTCTCAAGGGAGGGTCTACACATATTTTGGCAAAAGAAGAGATAAGGGAGAAGGATGGTATGAGTGCTTCAGATATGGTCTGGGTTTTTCAGCTGTTTTGTGAAAAACCCTGTGCCCTGAACACCTCTGACCTTTCCTATTTCTTGGAGACTGACGTCTCTACAGTAGATACATGATGATGTCACTCATGCTGTTTTTGATGTCTTTCTCTCTCACTACTCTTCACACGGGTTTTTCTGTAGGAGGGGACAGTCATGAAGAGGGTTAAACCTCTTGATCATGTGTGAAAGAGGAAATGAAAATGAATTATTGGAGATGTACTGAGACCTGACCCATAACTTTGGTTTCTGAGGATACAAAAATTTTGAATCCCAGGAGAAGTTTGAAAGGACAAAATTAAGGGACCTAGCTCTAAAAGTGATTTTCTCTGAGCCTTGATGCTCTGTGCTAGAAACTGGAAATGCTCAACCTTCACCTTTACAAAAGAATTATGAATGGGTGTAATACGAGCATGAGAAACAATTGTTTCAATCACCTCCTTGAAAAAAAAGTAATTTGAATGTGGTGGCTCAGGCTGAAATAAGCTGCATACCAGTTTCCTATGGGAAAGCCTAGTATAAATGATTGCCACGATTATATTCTGCTGAGCATTTTATGGGTTCCAGGGTGAGAAATCATAACCCACGAAACCCAAGACCATCTTACTCACAATTATGAGAAACGTGGTGCTGTCTAGAGGTCCACCTTCAAAGTCAGTGCTCTACTCTACTTGGCA